TACTCGCTTATGGCTGCCATCCCGCCTATAACTTTGGAGCCGGTGCATTGATAGCGCATCTCGACAGCGCGTCGTATCGCGTCATCGCGAAGTCTGAACGCTTCCTAATTGTTAAGTAAACATAAGCAAACTTGGAGTGACCTTATCTTTTAGCTCTTCCTTACACCATATATCTGACATCCAAATGGAATCCAACATACATCGATATGGATCCACGCTTCGTGCTCATACTTGCAGCTCCACTTGTTGTTCAACTAAAAATTAATCTGACGCTTACTATAGCCATAGCTCTGGAGCGAATGCTGGTAAGCGAGCGATTTCAGAGCGACGAGTGCATTATTTCCGAGATTTTTTCAGGCTCTTTTGTTTCCTGTATGCTATCGTAAACTTCCTGCATCCAAATATGCCGTGTACTGTCTGCTGGTTGGCTCCTTTCTGGGAACTGTTGATCTCGTTTTGCTATTCGCTCTCACTCCTTTCAAACGATCACCACAATGTGGTGCTTTTGGATGCTTCATTAGTGCAGAATATCGATTTTACTTGGGAAACAGCAACATGGTAATCAAATTTTTTGCTTATTGTATATTTGTACGTTTTCTAAAGAGCAGACATTAATGATTGCTTCTTTTTCAGGCTATGGGGATCGTGGTGATTATATTGATAACCATTCTAATCATCAGGTTACGGTTTATGCAAAGACAAAGGGTCCATAACAGTCAATCATGGGAGTCGCAGATGTTTATGCAGGTACTTCGATTTTTCCCAAAAGAGGTTCTCGTATAGAGTGGGGCGTGTCGTGTCCACTTAGGGCATGGGAGATTCCCCTCCCTGTCGCTTTTTGCGAAACACGATCCGCCTTCCCTCCACACTTCCTCCTCTGGTACGTCCCCTCCCGCTTCCCCGTGTTAGGCTGCATTCATACTTCGGGGCAGCGACCACCGACGTCACCAGCAACGGCAGTGTGAGCGTCTAGGAGTGAGAGTATGGCGCGATGGGAGGGTAGCAGAAAGCTGGTAGAGTATGGGGAAAGAGGAGTGTAGCAGTCTGCTGGTAGAGAACAAGGGGAAGTAGGACGATAGCTGTCTGCGGCCCTCCTGCTTCCCCATACTCTCCACTCCTGGGCGCTGCTGGTCGCTGGTGGACGCTCCTGGTCGCTGCCGTAAGTATGAACGCAGTCTTACGACCACAAGATCTTCATGAATACTCGTAATTTTCCATTACACTTTCCCACTTTTCCAAAAGCTTTCCAGTTCACCTCGAAAAGGTAACGTTGAATGAGAAACTGGGAAACCGTGAGGAGACAATAACCGGACGGTACTACCCCGCGCACGGAAAATTACGCAGAAAGAGGCCGGATAGGCCCTTCCCCCTCCTTTCTGAGCGACGAGCAAAGCGACATCCCCTCTCCAATAATAGTCTTCCAGCATTGTGAAAAGCATGAGTGAAATAAGAAAAATCATCTATCAGAAAAGTTTCTCAGGCCAAATGTGACCTCCTCCCTCCAGTGACCAAATACGATCCGCGTTGACGATTACAGCGTACGCCGTGATACTTTTTTTTGGGGGGGGGCGTACTTGGACCTCTCCAGTGTTATGAGAATTTTTTAGGGTCATAGAATTTTCACGCCAATTTTTCACATTTCATGCGCGCTGTACCTACGAAAGTTCGACGCCAGTGTTTCGGGAGGAGGCATGAAATCCTTACTTGTACGGTCGTAGAGTTTTTATCGGAGAACCAGCTGTGAAACTGGGGGCGTAGTGTTGGAGATGGACTTAGTTGTGCCTCCAGGGCGGCTGGCATGTTTTTTTGACGCTTTTTTTCTTCACTATTGAATTACTCAGAACCTTGTCGTCTATGTGCGAACCTCTTATCCATCATTTGTGATGGTGAATGATCGCGAGCTTCACCTTTAATGTGTCATCTTTAGGCCAATCGCACCTCTGCAGGAATTCTTGTGACTTCAGTGTTGTTTGTCACAATTCCAAGCGTTGGCGTCGGTGTCATTGAAGTGTTCGGTTACTCCATATTCAGGGCCATTGGCCCTTTCTACTCAGTTGGCCTCCTTTGTGCAGGTAAGTAAGTCAAAAATGGAGGTTCCAAGGAGTTAGATATGCAGCAGCGGCGTTACCACGTCGTCTGCTTTACCACACATCCTCAGAAACCAATTCCGTGATATTCGGCTGGGCGGAGGCAGGTAACGAGTGCTCCTTCGTCATTGGCGCGCCTCTCCTAGAGGGGTGCTCAATAAAGAGAGCTCTATAGTTGCGAGTCTTCGTTCAATTCTCAGCCCGTACGGTTGTTGTAGTATATGTATCTGAGTTTAGACGCGTTTGGCTTGGTGGGGGCATTGATAGTTTCGACTGCTGATGCTGCAGGTGTTAGTGGGTCTGGGTATGAAGTGCCAGCTCGTTCTCCTTCGAATGCGAAAGCTGGCAGCCAATCACAATCGGTGGATAACTGACTGGCCCTTTGCCAAACTCGGCTCTCTGTCGTTTATAGAGCCGTGGCCCCAATAACATGCGTGGATAGCTGGCACCCAATCACAGTTGGTGGAGAACTGACTGGCCCTTTGCCAAGCCCAGCTCTCTGACTCACCTCAGCCTCAAAACTGTACAGACTACCCTGTGACGGCCTGTGAATTCTCGCAGCCGGAGTGGCTTACTTGTTCCATTTCGCAGCTTCGCAAGATTTCGCAGGTTTGCTAACAAAAAATTTCAAGAGAAACCGGCAAAGATGCCCCCTCTGAACCTGACGTGACCGAAAGCTTCACTGGCGCAGCTAACAACAAGTTCTGACTTTTCAGGCGCCTGCAACACTATTGTGTACGTTGTATTGCATCCAGATATGAGAAGATTAGCCAGGCATTGTCTCAACGGCAAAACTGCAACCATTCAAAATTCGCCAGTGTCTAGTAAAGTCACCGTTATAACGGCACTCAAAGAAAATCGTCGTAATACTCTGAGAGTGAATTCAACGTATTGAAGCGATAGAGACCTTCAGTATGTTGATGCCCAAGCCCATTAAGATTCAATTTGTATGTAAAGTGCTTTCTGATAAATCTTTTTTGCTGGAAATATTTTAGAGCATTTTTGATGGCGTTTTTGCTATTAGCGAGCGAGTCGAGCTACTGCAGGTGCGTAACCTGGGCTCGTACCCACCAATAATGTTCCCTTCTCGCGAACTAAAAGGTCGCTCCAAGAGAGCTGCAGGGTAATCACTTAAAAACGCAAAATTATATATTGTGAATAGTAGCACTCACTTACAAAGCTACAGCCGCTAAATAACTCTCAAACGCAAAAAAAACCGTGGCGAACACCCTAAGTAAAGACCTGGTAGCCTCTCTGGACGAGTTTTTCGGAGCTGTTCGTTTCATGCCAGCAAAGCGACATCCTGTCACCTGTGGCCAGAACACGCCATCGCGTTGTGATCATTTCCTGAAAAATACGAGCTCTCCTAATTCCATCCTTGAATGAGATCCCCCTCCACATGCTACCTACCTGTTTTTCGAGATGTTCCCCAACCTCCTATCACCTTTTTCCGTTTTTTTTCCTTAAATCTGGTCTTTCCCCGAAATTTTGCTGTCGAGTGGGGAGAGAGGGTGGAGGTCGTCCAACCTTTAATATGCAACTTTTCAACTTCGGAAAGGTAGTTGTACTGGATCTCTGGCGGTCCCTGCTCCCCAAATAACGACCAAATACGACTCCCCACCCCCCTTTTATTACGCTTCGTGGAACGGAAATCAACTATTAAAAAAATTTTCTCAGTTCAAATACGCCCCCCCCCACACTGTTAAATACCCATCCCCTTTGTAATCATCACAACGACGGCGTGCCCTGCCTTGTAGTGAGTCAATAGCGGTCTGAAGTATAATAAATTAATTAATTAGTTAATAATACGATCTAAAGTAAAACGTACATAGCACAGTAAAAAAACAGTTAAAAAACCACAAACGTGGTGCAAGAACCAAAGTTGTGACAAACTTTGGGAGGGTCAGTTGGGGAGGTGTTAGAAATGCCACTTATGAGGGCACAGCGCCTTCGCCTTTCACTGTGAGGTCTCTTGTTTCAAGTATGACGAGCTTTCTCACGAAAATTGGGCAATGCGGCGCCCATTTCTGGGTGCTTTGAAACGGGCTGGTTCTTCACAAAAAAGCCACGTTTTTGCAAGATAATGCTATTGAGCGTCTGCTATCTGCGATAATTTTAGTTTCCCCGTTTCAAATGTCATGAATGGTCCTCATACAGCCCTACTGGTTAACGTATTACGTCAAATGCGTCATGGGAGATTAACACAGATGGTGCCCTTTTTTCTCAAAGGAAACAACAAGGGCGCTATTTTTAATTGGATTCCTACGAACATATTATTTATGTGTTTCCGTGGCTAGAATGGCGTGCAATCGTAATAATAAACGCAAGTGATCATGAGTACTGGTGAGTTCCTAAATGATGCGGGGATGTCCTCCCTTTGGGAACGGATAAGTTGGCATGCAGCGATTAACAACGAAACTAAATCTGGACATTGCAAAGATCTGCATGCGGCAGAACACGAGGGATAGGGCCCGATTTACAAATAGCAGTGTCTACCCAGGGGTTGTATTTCACCTTCGTCCCATTTCGTCACTACTTTTGCCCATGACAACGTTTTTTAAAGCAGTTGGCACGATAAATTCCTAAGAAGAATAGGACTGATACCGCCTGACAAGGATAGGAATCGCGGCAGGACTCCCTAAGGGCAGGTGCTGCCGTAGCGCGCTTTTCTGAGGACACCCCTCCTAGAAGGGGGCCCTATCGAGCTACCAATCCTAAACGACCTGAGGCGCCCAGCAGGGCCGCCCCGGCCTCGCGCAATGGACAGCCGTACCTGACGGCTCGTATTGCCTTTATTTGCAGGAGTTCGCTTACATTCTATAAAGCAGAAACTTTGTGTGTCGGTTTGTCGGTATGTATGTCGGTTTGTATGTTTGTCCGTCCGCAAAATGCTTTACGGGATTAAACACGTTAGTGAAAGAAGAAAACGACCGCTAGCCAAACCGGGAACCCATCGGTGCAGATGTATCAATCCAATGTTTTGATTGTGATAACAGCATATATAAGACAACCACTCGGTACACTCCCGAGCCATTGCACGAGCTGCTGCCGTGGCAGCTGGACGTGTGCTCGTGCGGGGGCAGGGTGGGGGTGCCGAGGTCGCCCTGGCCTGCTCTTCTCCTGCCATAAGCGTCAAGCCGTGAGCTGAGCACGATAGTACGTGGAGGGAGGCAGAGGGAAGGGGTCGCGGGGAGGGGGGAGGGGGGGGGGGTACAGTGAGCGGTGCGTAGCGCGCGTTTCAGTAGAAACGCACACCAATGAATGAGGAAACAACCGCTAACAAAACTGTAAGCCAAATCGCTGTTATACGTACACCGAACTAAGCAACGTTTGTTTTGTTGTTGCATAACACTCTCCACTATATAAGAAAACCACTACACTGCGAGCCATTGCACGGGTTGCTCGCGTGGCAGTTGGACGTAAGCGCGTGCAAGGGGCAAGGTGGAGGGTGGTGGGGTGGAGCGGCGAGTACGGAATGGGATGAGGTGAGGGGAAGGTAAGAGTTAGTATGCGAGTGGACCTCCCTCTCCATGCCTTCGCTTCGCTTGGGCGGCGTACCGTACTCGGTCGGATCTGAGCCCATGCAGGGGAAGGAGGCATATGGATTGAATCGGGCAAACTGGGTACAGTAAGGGGATGCGTAGCGTACGCTTGGATAGGAGCAGGCGGCAAGACAGAAGGAAAGAACCCCTAGCAAAACTGCAAGCTAATCCAATGTGTAGCAGGCAAGGAACTAGGGAGCTGTTTGATGTAGATGAGGTCCTCCTCTATCTAGCCAACCACTGTGATAGACTCTGTGCTATTGCAGGAGCTGCTCGCTTGGGAGCTGGACGTGAGCACGAGCAAGGCGGTGGTAAGAACAGTGGCGGCGTAGTGTCCCTATGTTGCACCAGCTGCTCACGTGGCGGCTCACATGCGGGAGGGCGCCACTTAAATAGGGTCACTGGGATATGATGTGGTGAGGGGGATACCAGATGAGAACGGCGATTTCGCGATTAGGAGCACATAGCGCCTGCGGCGGTAAGGCGTCTACGGTTGCGATTAAGATGGCGAAGAAAATGGATCCAACGGCTAATCCGAAAGCTGCAACCGATTAATGTGCATTTATCAAATTGTTGTAGCGCCTTTGATAGTCGTAACATGCCCTTCACAAGCATGACCAGAAACCATTAGTGCCACTTAGAACCATTGCACGGGCTATTCGCGCAGCAGCTGAGCGTGACCTGTAGGGTGGCTGAGCGGGGAATAGCTAAGGTTAGTTTGGGGATAGGTGAGATGAAGGGGTACCATATTGGCGCGACCGACGCTCGCCTGAACAGGAGCACGCAGCGACTGCGGAGACCGAAGCATCCATGGCTGTCATAAGATGGGGAGGAGAGTAATCGATTATCCATGACCAGATTTTGAACTTTTCATTATGAAAGTGCCCTGCGATCATATGGCGCGTTTCTACATTCATTTGATTAGAAGACAGCGATTAGTCACGACTCTAAAGCAGTTGCATGAGCCCGGCGAAGCCGGGCTTCCAAGAAGGAGGAGAGCTCGGCGTTAGCCGGGCGATCCGACTGGTAAAATATAAAGCGAAGAGATTGGTATGAAGCGGCTGCGGTGCTGCATGGATATATGGGAACATACATGCAGCCGTACCCACCGTAGCGGTTATTGGCAAGATGTCTACAGAAAACTCGTCCTTGCCATTGAGGACGAAGGTTTTTTCGCAGGTTTTTGACCGTTTCACTTCGTTTTTCACCATTTTCCACACTATATAGCGCCCTGTTGAGGCGGAGGTGGTGTAGTGACAAGTGGCGCGCTTACCACTCGCGCGGTCCTGGGTTCGAATCCCAGGTCGACACCCGCCCAGGCCAACCAAGCCTTCTACCCTCCGGGTAAATTGGTACCAGATTCGTCTGGGAGGATAAAACACTGACTTGTACATCGGCTGGCCCCCGCAAGTCATTGCATAGGTGCAAGTCATTGTATAGGCCACATCGCA